CAGCCCCTAGCTACTCCCTGCATCCCGAGGTAGCCCCCGTGCCTGCACACAGCCCCTAGGTACCTCTCTCTGCACCCTGAGCTATCCCCTGCCTACACACAGCACTTAGTTACCCCCTTCCTGCACCCTGACCTATCCCCTGCCTGCCCAAAGCCCCTAGCTACCCTCTCCCTGCACCCTGAGCTACCCCCTCCCTGCACCACGACCTACCCCCCTGTACCCTGAGCCCCCCTGCCCACACACAGCCCCTAGCTACCCCCTTGCTGCACCATGACCTACCCCCATGTACCCTGACCTACCCCCTGCCCATGCACAGCCCCTAGCTACCCCCTCCCTGCACCCTGAGCTGCTCCCTGCCTACGCACAGCCCCTAGATACCCTCTCCCTGCACCCTGAGCTGTTTTCAAACTTTTTCAGCTGACCCCTCCACCTTTGAGTTACAATTTTTGGTTACGCCTCCGCCCGCCCCGAGCAACCAAGAAAGGCTGGGTGGCCTGCTGAGGTGAATCAGGGGGTGGATTTGGCACTGCCTCCCCAGATCCTGCCATGTGGAGCTGGCTTGAGCCCCGCAAGCCCGTACCCCCCCAAAATAAAAGTCAGAGCAGTAACCACTTAATTGTAAGTATATACTTATAATTTTTACCTATTATTAATGTTATAATAATGCAGTATTTCTTTTTAATAGGTGCTCAGTCAACTTAATGTTATTTTGAACATTTGTACTACATAATTCTGATTGATTGATTGCCATTGAACTCGCTTGAATATGAGCAATTTTACCAGGTGTCCGGTATTCGGCATAGGGAAATATGGTCACCCTATTTTTAAGTGAGGTGAAACTTGGGGGTACACAAGACAGAGCAGACTCCTGAAATGGGTACACTAGTCTGGAAAGCTTGAGTATCACTGCCCTAAAGTACATGAACAGAGAGAATGACTGTCTGACCATCTATTGACAGAATACAGGTCAAAGGGGCCTAATGGAAAAAATGAGGGTCCACTAGGTGAGGGATAAACTAGCTTGTGGATAAACTCGGTGAGAAGAGATCCAGCCCAGGAACATCGAATCTAAGGAGCACTTTGAGCCAAAGAGAAGCAAAGAACAGGACAGCAAGCGTGGAGCTGGATTTACAGCAAGGAGAGGAAAAGCCGATTCTTCTCTGAAGTGACACAGTATATTATGAATTAATCTCTTTTGTTCTTGTTAATAACAATGCATTTGGTACAAACTGCACAGCGTATACAAGTTCACAAAGGTTAGTGAGTTGGGAACCAATTATTATAAATAATAAGTCTGTGGTAATGTTCTGGATTATTTATGCTCCTGGTACAGTTTTGGGGTTTTCCATTATAAGGTTCTAAAAAGATAAAATGATCCCCTTGATCTTGATTTATCTCTGCCTCCCCTCACAGTTAGCAAAGCTTTGCCTGGCCAGGTCACCACACCTGTCCCCCAACCTCCTCTTTGCCTCACTGCTTGTAAGAATCTAGAGACACTTGGACTGGAGAGCGCTTTTCTCTTCAGCATTCAGGGCATCCCAGCGTTTGCTCTCATTTACTCTGCTCTGGGTGAGGGAAAGGCATTGAGGGTCCTGCTAACAGAACTCTCCCACCAATGCATGGGGCCTGGGAGGTTCCCAGCTTGAAGCTCAGTATTCAGCCTTTGGTAGAATGCGACCCATGAAAATGAGGTTGAAATGAAAGCCCAGGGGGTCTGCAGTCATGAGAGCAGGTGCCCAATGCAGCAGGTAGAGAAGAGAACGCACTTCTCTCTACATTTATATTGAAAGCATCTGAAAGAGCCCATTAGAAACAGGTGTAATGGACAAACTCCAAACCTTGGGGAGCGGATGGCCACTGTAGTTTTGTTGGTTATCTCGACTCCCACACATCTGGAATGCGTCACACCTCTAAGAATCTCTTCGATGTCTTTGCCCCTTTCCATCTCGGATGATTGCAGCGGCTCTGAGACAAAAAAATTATTGAGCAGATCATCAGTGAGCACCAGCTGAGCCTCTCACAATGCACATCTGGCCAGACCAGAGTACCATGTGTACTAATGAGAGGTACAGGATGGCGCTGTGCAACGACATCTCCACCCTGTATCCAACTCTCGTCTGTTCCTGCTGTGGAGAGCCCCGTTTGGCCAGGAATCTAGCACAGAGTCAGAGCTCCTCAGCTTTCACAAGGTGTGAAACGTGTTCTGGTGAAGCATATTAGCAAACAAGTTTAATAGGCTAGCTGTACTGCCCAGGAATAGGGAGAGCACTGCCATGGCATTCATTGTGTTCTGCGTTCCAGAACCCAACCGGAGCAGCAGGGTGTATGTGACAGGCTTGGCCTATTGCATATCATTAGCAAACCCAGTTACTTGGGGCCCACCATGCCTGTGTTGTTCCCTTGCACTAAAGAGCAAAAGACACGAGAATTGATGATGGGGATGGGATCCTAATCCAGGAACACAGGGCAAGTACATACGCCTCTGGGAGTGAAACTGCAGCCTGCAGCCCCTCCCTCTGAGGGACCTGCTCAGCTAGGGGAAAACAAGGCTGTTTGGGGAAAATGAGCTCATCTCCGAGCTCAGCAGAGACCAGGCCCACCCAACTAGAGAGGCTGGAAGTGTGTAGAATGGGTCATGGGATCAATGATGAGAACACGGTGGTTGTTATACTGAGTGAAACAGGCGTTAAAACTTGCTGTGGAGCCTGAGCGCCCCCCATTGAACCAGCAGACAAAACATTCATCAAAATTCTGGAAATTCTATCAAGTCTAGGGTTACCATATTTCCACAAACAAAAAAGAGGACACTGGGGGGGGGGGAAGCCCCGCCCTAGCCCCGCCCCGCCCCATCCACTCCCTCCC